CGTAAGTTTAAAAAAAACAAAAGCCACCCACCCACCCTCTCAACATTGCCAGCAGCAAGCAGGAAACTTTCCCATTAAGCTATCATTTTTTGCAACATTTTAGTTTTCATTTAAAGTAAAATTTTCCAGTCCGTATAGTTTCAGAGGTTGTTTTCTAAATTTAAATCAAATGTAAACAAATGCTATCTTCTTAAGGTTAGTGAAAACTCCAGTGCTTCTGCTACTGCTTTACCACAGAGATCAGAACTAGCCAATTATTTTTTTTTTCTGTTTTAAACCCTGCAGGCAGCAGTGAAACTTAAAAAGAATCTTGTCATTTACACTGTGGAAATGTGTTTGACAAACCATTAGCAGCAACAGGAGCTGCCAGTAGAAACAGAGGCAATCACTAAAGTGATTCACTGGGGAGATGTAGTCAAAAAACAGACTAGAGAGAGAAACAGTAAAGAGTAACCACTATAGCTCTTAGGTTTTGCTCCTGACTTTGCTGCACTACTCTCTCTCCTTCCCCTTCCCAGCACTGATCTATCTGAAGCTAGCTGGCATAGTCCTGGAGATAATCTTGGAAACAGTTGACACTCCCACTCTATTTACATTCAGAGCTTTGGCAATGATGGGTGGAAAGGGGAGTGCTAATTTTTTCATTTGCAAGTCAGCTCTTCATCTACCCAGGTGACATCAGAAGTAAAAACCACAGTGTAAATGTGAAAAGCAACTGCAAGCTTAGGGAAAAAAAAAATAATCAGGAGTCAAATTTACATAGATGATTGAAGCTATTAATATTTCTTGACCAAACCTGAAGAGGGGTAGTGACTGAGTATATGTGTCAGCATTAGTTCTAATCAAAAAACGTATTTAGTTCATAAGAACTAATCCTACAGTCATGATAAATAATTTTCATATTCAATCCTTATTATTATAGAAAACTGCTCCTTGCATACTGCTAGGAACACTCCACAAACACTGAAAAAAACCTCACTTACAACAAGTATTTTCACAGTTCATTAAACTGAGGGTAAAGTTTAAGAAAAGGACTCACTGAAATGAGCTGTATGCTTCAGTTTCTACGTTCATGCCTATTGCTCTTGTAGTACAAAATGCTAAGAAATCATTCAAGTTAAAAAAAAGACAGAATGGAAAGGATCTACTTACTCTGGATCTGGATCATACCTCAGGACTATACTCCCCATAGCTAAAAGAAAGAAAATACATAAAACATGCTTAGAACCACATTAAAACACCTGTGACCTCAAGAGGTTATGAGAGAGCAAAGGGTATTTTCTTGTCACTGTACAAATACTCTTATCCAACAACTAATTAACACTATCTGTATTAATACAAAAAAACCTGAACTGGAAGACACATTTCAGCTACATACTTTCAAATAGAAATTATGTAAAATAAAGTTAACAGATGAACAAATATATGTACAGAAAAAGCACTCCTCTCGCAAAGCAGTCTAAGAAGTTCCATGAAAACAATTAACAGTTAATCAAAACAGATGAAGTGAGTGGAGGGCTAACCAAAAGACTGAGTTACACTTTCTGAATTATACTTCTTCCCTACATTTTCACTTAACACACATGCCATCAGACACTGAAGTACCAGCAATGGCTATGGATAGAATATAATAAATGCCTGTAAGTTTTTAAAATGATAGCACTACATTCAAAGTTCTGTCTGATTTTTTACTAGTAATACCTACAACTGCTATATGTTAGTTTTACATAAACTAATCTAGTTTACTGTGCACTCTGGTTTATATGGGAGGCACAGTTAAGGTAATTAGAGAGACTGTATTCCTTATTATAAGCATCTTCCACATAAAAGAGAAGATTAACATAGCCAGTACTCAGAGTAAGCATAATTTCCCCCCACATCCCTACCCCCGTTTGTTTAGGTAAAACATAGATGTTTAATTTTGACATGGCCAGTGCCATCCATTTTAAAGTATACAATCAATAAAGGCTCCTGCAAAGTCCAGGACTGGCTAAAAATTGAAACTGGAATATAGTTGGAAACAAATACCAACAGAGTTTAGAAACTTTGCTAGTCACACTTTCCAAAGCCACCTCACAGCTTTGGAATTTCCATGCTACTAAGAAATCCCACACTTAGTGGATCTTTCGGAGGTTATCTTGTATGTAAGAATCAGGGCTCTCAAATCTGGCAGAATTTATACATCCTTGGTCTAATAAGCTTCCAGAGTTGGAACCAGATATAGTCACAGCCTCTGGAAGTACTCTTGGATTCAGCAACATTATGAATACAGTAACAGTTAGCATAGACATTTTTAGTGTTAGCCACAACTCCTAATACATCTATTTCTGTAGGTGGATTTCCAATCTGTCTGAAAGAATAATTCACAAGAATGAGGTTCCAACTTAGAGAACAGTATTCATCTTCGTGCAGTAAATACCGAGAACTTACCCATGTCTTTGACGAGTTTTTGTGTCTCATTGCTAAATTTACTTAAAAATGGATTCTCTTGGGTAAGCAGCACTTTAACATCATCTATGCAAACGTTTATAATCCTTGCATTAATAAATGGGTACAGTGTATATATTCCCTGGTGGTAAAAAATACAATTAGTTTAAAAACGAAAAGAATCCCTGCTTTTTGAAAAAGGATTAAATTAAAAGCAAAAAAGCTCTGAATAATATTACAGCTAAACAATTTTGTTTCAATGCAGTTTAAAATACCAAAAGGCTGTAAGACTGCATCTCACAATCTGTTGGATTCAAAATAAGTATCACTATGGAGAACTCTAATAAAATTCTCTCATGACTTGAAAACATGGTGCTTCAAAATTACCTCTTGTGCTAGTCTGAAGGCACAACCGAACTGCTCACCATCACTGTTACGAGACCAAACTTTTATTCCTGTGTTAATAACCTGTCAATTTTAAAGTAAAAGTATCAATACAATGTTTAATGGAAACAAAGTTTCAGAGTTAGGTAACTTGTCTTGAACTGCTTAACTAGCAACCAAAGAAAGAATATTTTCGCTGTAAAAAGAACACTAAAATTCATAAGTCAGAATTCAACATTTAAAATTAGGTTACATTATCAGTGTAATTTAAGTTAGAATGCTCTAGGGAAAAAACATGAATAAATGTTCCCAATTATGAGGGTAAAGTTACCAGCCTCAGGGCACTCCACTTCTAACCTCTCCTATATCAACATTTGATAACCATGAAAAGAAGTGGGCTTTCAGTTAATGCACTGAACTGTTAACAAGAAGTGGCTTCAATTCTTAGTTCTACTAAGGATTTCCTATGTGAACCTGGGAAAGTTACACACAAAAACTTAATCTTGGGATCCTAAACCATGCTTTGGCACTCAAGGATTTAAGTCTAATATTGTCACCAGTTTCTTAAAATCTTTTTAATGTTCTTTCACTGCCTTTGACAGTGTTCCATCTATAAAACATGGACAGATAAAATTCCCCTACTTTACAGATGTGTTGCAAAAATAAAACCCTGAAGTCTGTGAGATGTCTTCTACTCAGGCCTTCTATTCTGTATCTCTATGGCAGGCTTGTCCAACATGTGGCCCTCCAAGCTGCTTTCTGAGGCCCGAGGTGCTGAGATGGTAAGTGAAAGTAAACACTGTATTTTCGTTTCGGGGGTGGGGGAGGGGGGGGGGCAATGTGATACCGCTTCCTGTGAGGTCTTTAAATATGGCTCGCTGGCCCACTGGGCAATAAAAAGTTCAGGATCCAGCCCCACGTTCAAAAAGGTTGGACACCTCTACTCTATGGAATAGATAATTTTCCTCCTTTGCTTTCTTCCTCAACTAATTTAATTCATGAGAACTTTACTTCTCACCCCATGTCTGCTCAATGCCTTAGCAGCTTCACAGGATGGTTTTTATTTAAGACAGTGCTATCCAACTGGCAGCCCCTGAGGAGTTAAATTGCAGCCCCTGGGCTTCTGGTCCAGGCAACATTCTCCCCTTTGCTTTCTTCTTGCTACCAAAATTATTGGGTTGGCAACCCTGCAGTAGCGGTGCATTCACAGTGAATTTACAGGTTGATAAAACTTCAGTCTCTAAACACTCTATGAGAAAAAAAAATATGGATGACTTCAGGAAGAATATTAATTGGTCATGCTTCAGTAGGACACAGTTTAAGAAGCGGTTTCTGGACACAGCTACTCCTTGCTTAACATCGTAGTTATATTCTTGAAAAATGCGACTAAGCAAAACGATGTTAAGCAAATCCAATTACATCACAGTAGTGACCTACTAGCAGGCGGCAGCCAAACAACCTAGTAACTAAACATTGCGTGACTTTAAACAAGTATGTTATCTAATAGATCAGCGATGTAATAACAAAACAACGTTAACCAGGATGACGTTAAGTGACGAGTACCTGTACAACCTACTAATTGGTTTTAGCTGTACTTTAGGGCAGGGGGAGCCAACCTTTTCCGGCTGCAGGCCAGAATGACCCACCCCAGGTCTGAAGTGGGCAGGCAGGTGCAGTGGTTTTTACACTTTGCTGCCTCCACCACAGGGGCCCATATTCACCCCACGTCCTGATGCCCACAGCTCACACCATCCTCTTCCCCCCAGCCAGGCCCCCCAAAACCTTACCCGCTGCTACCCCAATCCCCCCATTCTGGCAAGGACCCCCACCCATCACTGTTAGCTTTGTACTCTTATGATTTATTTTTCCACATATATAAATATGTGCAAACACACACAAAGTCCCTCGTATGATCTCCAAGTGTTGTATTAGATTAGGCACAATGCCATTGCATTTTTGTTGAGTCTTGTAAAATAATATTCCCTCCAAGAGTCCAAAAACTCAAGTACTTCTTCAACAAAATAAGAGGAATGGAGTCATACTTTAAGTGGAGTCCTAGCAGAAGATAGCTCTCACAGTAGTGCAAGGAAGCTTCCACTGATGTCTCTGGATTCATGGTAAAAATCTAAAAATAAGGAGTCCTACCTTCATCTTCTCACTGTTGTTCACCAGTACATTCCTTAGTTCCTTAGAAACCATGTACAGATGCCTCTTCTTTCCTTCCTGAGTCCGAGTAAGTAAATTCATTTTAGGAAATGAAGGATCCAATGCGTAAAATTTCCTGTAAGCATAAATAGTGACACTTTAGATTGCCAGGCTTCTATATTCAGTGTATTAAAAATGATGACAAACACAGACTCTCCAGCAACTTCCCCATTCATTCATGACCACCACAGATGGCTAAGAGAGGCACTGCACAGGACTCATATTAACAGCATTAGATGTCACAAAAAACTCCACATATTTTAAAAATGAAGTCGAAATGTTTCATACTAGAGTTATTCTGCAGGCTGCTGAAAGTGGACATTTTAAACTTGGTTTTTTTAAAGCTTCATTCAATTTTTACTTAAAAACGAGTTAGATGTCAACATATCCACTTTATCTTAAAATTATGGAAAACGTGCTTTATTTGTGAGCCAAAATGAAGATATATTTTTCAACTACAGCTACAACGAAGACCTATTCACCTGGGAAAAACTAATCCTAGTTAGCTGGAATCCTTTACTGCAGAATGAAAGGACATAATTTCTCCTTACTGGATGGATGGAAACAGTGGGTCATCTTCAGAAAGGAACACAAACGGGTCTTCTTTAAAACCAAACAACTTCATTCTTTTCGACGGCGGTGGTCTAAAAACAAATGTTATTGCTTGAGTGAATAGCTTCTTAAAGTTCTGTGGATTTAGATCATCATTTGGCAAATGAGTGGGAGTGCTGACTGAAGTCTGTGGAAGAGCAAACAACTACATTTTCCTGTTGCTTCACTAGCAATACTGGTACTATAACTCTGAAAATTCAGATGGATGGATGTGGGGGAAAGAATGCATTAGCTAGAGGGACAGAAGTGTACCAAGCAGGCAGCTGTGAAGGAGAGAAAGGAAAGAGTCAACTGGGAAAGCAGGGGGGAGAAAGAGAGGAAGGTGGTGGTCAAGAGAAAAGGAGAAAATTAATGGAGTACAGAAAAGCAGCATACCAGCATGTAGGACTAGCAGTTAATGCGGATATTATTAAGACTGCAAATGAAGTATTGGAGCCAACTAGAAATATCGCACAGCTTTTTAAAACAAGCTCTATGCCTTCATGAAGCAGGCATATATTTAATACGAGCAGTGATAGAGTTGGGTGCTCTTTTTGCTTGCCTCTATAAAAAGCCTCTTCATTTCACTATCAAAACCCTTTTCTCCTTGCTCTCTACTACTCTCTCTCTGTCAGATGTTCAATTTCTATTGTAGAATACTGTGAACCCATCCTCTTTTCATACAAGTTCTGCTTGTGTACAGTGGAAGATCAGGACACGATTAAGGCTTTTTTTTGGAGACTAAGAGTATTAAACACATTGCTGACAGTGTACAGAAAAAAAACCCAGTTTAATTCTCCACCCTAAAGGGGATACAAATAATGCTGAATTATTTAACAGTGACCAAAACAATCAAGAATTGATATATCTCCCACAGGCAAACTAATCCTTTTGCTGTATTTGGTTCTTCAGATTTGTAAAGATCGGTTATCCAGAGTTTACAATCTAAGTAGATAACAAGAAAGAAAAGGAACAGGGCAAGATAAAACCAAATGAGCATGTTGTGATAATAGTGTTTTCCTTTTTTAATTCTGCTTTTTAAATTATTTAAAATTAAGAACTAAACAAAACTGAGGTTTCCACAAAGCCTTCAAGGGTTACAAACAGGTATGGGACAGATGCTTAGATGCAATCTCTTACCCACATACTCCATCCTTCTTGCTTTGCTCACACTCTGAGTTCAGCGAGTCCTGAACTTCCCTTGCCTGTTCGTCTTCAGGAGGCTGTTCTTCAATAGTTTCTACAGCGCCATCTTCTGTAGCGCTGGTAGGTACTGTAGTATCTCCTGTTTTCTGCAACGATTTCCACTGAAGCTGTTCCAGATTGTAATAAATGTTTTAGTGAAGGAAAATTTAGTTATATTTAACTTGTCTACATACTCCTTTTTATTGAGTTTAGCACATATACTAAACACACTATATACACACATATATATACATATACACCTATGGGGGGGAGCGGCAAAAGAGCTTCCCAGTGTGCGTGTGTGTGGGGGGCAAAAGAGCTTACCAAAGGGCAAGTTACCCATTCAAAGTTGCCTTTATTTGGTCTGCTGCCTTACACGTCTCCAAGAATGCATCGGTGCATCACATTTAAGGGAAGAACATTCCAAATCAGTAGCCCAGTTATTTTTTGCCTAATAACATGGAGAAACCAGAGCTAGACAAAGCTTAATAACTTTATCCCACTGTACATGTTCCACAGCAGTGCTACTGTTTGAGCCTTAAAACGGTAAGCAGCGCTGGAAAGTGCATTACTTTTGTATGAGCCTGATTTTTTTCATACTGTTTTGCAACATTTATTTACAAAGAGGTTCTAACTAATGGCATCAAGTGAACAGAAAGACCTCTAAGTGATTTGTATGAGGAATATACCCCTCCCTTTAATATGAATAACTGAGGAGAGTGTTACATTGTCTTAGTTAGTTTAAAGAAAAAAGGTTTAGCTCCAGGTACAATACCACCTTGCTATTTTACTGGCGCTACACAAGCCCATCATCCTACTTAAAAGGAAAAAAAAAGAGAAGAAAGATTTTCAAAAGGGCTTCAGGGATTTGGGTATACAAGTTCCACTGACTGACTTGCAGTCAAGACAACTCAAGATGAGACTGAAACAGTTATACACTTTGACCAATTTTTTCCCAATAGGTTTCTAATTACATTTACAAAAGTTTCTAAAACACAACAAAAATATGTTTTTATCAAACCTCCTTTTACCTTAGGCTGGCGTTTATTCCAGGGCATTGGAGACTTTTTTATTAATACAGCCACAAAGAAACCTCCAGTGTTCTGGTGATGTGGCAGTATCCTAAGACTGGACCAAAAAAAACCAAAAAAAACCCCAACATTACAGTCAATATAATTAGAATCCAGAAGTTTTTACACAATATTAAGGAGGAGTCACACTAACATTTACTGCGTGTCTAAATCAGCTGTTCTCAACCCATGGGCTGCATGCAGTCCAATCAGCACACTGCTGTGGACTATGTGATATCCTGTTAAATGTAGGGGTGCACCGATAAAGATTTTTGGGGCCAATACCAGTGGCTGATTGTTCAGCTGATACTGATGCAATTGCTGATATGCATCCCAACAGCTTGGACAGCAGTGTCTGGCTGAAGTCTGTGGGGGAAAAGGGGTGGGGGGAGGGAGTGGGGTTTGGGACTCAGGCAGGGGCTGCGCTACCCAGACAGGGTGGGGTGCAGGACAGAGCTGTGACTAGTCTGAGAAGCATGGAGGGGGAGGGGGCAGCTCCAGCTGCTGGCGCACCCCGAGGGAAAGCACAGAAGGGCATGTGCCCCCCGGGATCTGTGCAGTGGGTGAAGGTGGGCTGCCGCTGTGAGCTGAGGCCAGGAGCAGCACCAGGCTCTTCCTGGCGGGGGGTTGGGCCAGGGCTATGCGCAGGGTAGGCAGCAGTGATGCTGGGAGGTGGGGTTATGGGCTGGGTTAGTTACCCCAGGATTTGCTGTAGCCCCCCAACCCCCAAACCCTTCCTCCCAGCACGACCACCACCACCCACCCTATACGAAGCCCGGCCCGGCTCCCCTTCCAAGAAGAGCCCGGTGCCACCCCCAGACCCAGCCCACAGTGGCAGCCCACCCTTGCCCCACAGATCTGGGGGGCACGTGCCCCTCCCATACCTCCCTGGGTGTGTGCCAGCAGCCAGAGCAGCCCCCTCCCAGACAAGTTGCTCACGGCTCTGTCTCATGCCCTGCCCCAGCCCCACTCCTTCCCTCACTGCAAGGGCCTCAATCTGCACCCCCCACTCCCCAACTTACTAGCCAGATGCTGCTCTACAAGTTGCCGGGCTGCATACAGGCACACAGTATTTCTTGGTGACATTATCAGCCATCTCAGCCAAAAAGAACTGATTGCTGATAATGTCAATTTTGCTTTGATTGGTGCTGATATGACCCAATGTATCGGTGCACCTCGAGTTAAATGGATACACAGGAAGTAAATTGTGTGTGTATGGGTCAGACGTTGCTGTCCAACATGCTGAGAGCTGCAAGCGTGGCCCATTATGGCAAACAGGTTGAGAACCACTGGTCTAAATTAAGGTCTGTTCTACATTCTGTAATTCCAAAGGCAGCAACAAGCTCTGCTAGGAAAACTGTGAATATATAGAAACTAATTATTGGAGGGTCATCTTAAATTTGTCCCCCCCATCACTGCTGCAGCATGGAAAGCAGCAACAGGAAGGAAGCAGAGGCAGAGGGTAGGTGAGGGGGCGGGGGAAGTGGGGAAAGTGGCAGGGAAGTCAAGTGGCCTAAACCCTGTCCCTTCTGCACTTTACCTCCTTCCACCTATTCCACAGCACCCCCGCCCCCATCTTGCTCCCTCCCTGCCTGCACCTATCCTGTCCATTTTCCCTCATCCCAAACTTACCCTCATTTGCAGCTCTGGCTCCAACCCAGCTCCAACCCACACATGGGGCATAACAGATGTGGCAGCAGTTCTGCCCCTGGGACCAGGTCACAGCCAGAGCTGGAGTTTCCATCATTGCCGCTGCTCCTGTCTAACTGGGAGGGTTTGAGCTAGAATTATGATAGAGGGTAAGCAGCAGTGGGGGAGGGAGAAAGGTGGCAGAGGGGATGGGGACTCAGGACAGAAGCAGTGGCTCCTGTCTTATACTTGAATCCAAGATGAAGGGCTTTCCCTCACTCCACTGAATGGGGAAAAAGCTTTTTGTCTTGGATCTGAGTAAATATGGCAGACCAGGATTCAATTTGTCCCTAAATGTATTTCTATTAACACACTCTTTGAACTAAAGATAGGGTTGTCACTCTCTCTATCCCTCTGTCCCTCAGATACATTTAGGGGTCACAGTGGTACTGGCCAGTCACCAATATGCAATGAATATTATCTTAACCATTTCAGTAATTGTTTCTAGCCCACAATCCATTCCTAAAAATCAAGATGCCAGTTTCCACAAGGTATTTCCCCCTACTGCTATAAAAACTAAACATCAGATCTAATAAAATCAAACTATTTGGTGAAGGCATACCAACGCTCCAGGTTCATTGCTTTCAGTTTTTCCTTGTCTTTTATTGGGAACATGGTAGGTCGTATTTGTGCCTGTCTGTTAGAAGGCACCTCTTTCCAGTCCTCAAACCACTGCCCATCTTTTAGCATTACCTATGAAGGAACATATGAAAATTAAATCTGAGGCTGCTCTTTCATGATCACATAATCACCAAAGTTGTGGAGCGCTCAGTCATAATTTCTGATGAATCAACTGCTGATACAGTGAACTGATGGCATGTTCCCAATTCTCAAAACTTTACTGCTTTCATGAACGACCAGAACTCTTCTTCCCCAAGTCTGTATATACAGTATATTGTTAGACTGTGTGATAATAATTGTCTGGGCTAATTCTAAACTAATGAGGGACTGTTCAAATGCTCTAAACACTGCTTTATACTCTAACATGTTGATGTGGAACATGGGCACTTGTTCTCTGAACACATGCCAATCCACCTGGGCTTCCTCCCACTGGTAATGTTGGAAGCCTCGCTATCATATTGTTTGTACTGGTGCAGGAGGAGGAAAGGCAGCTCCTATTTATGCTGTCTTTCTTTTTCCACTAGAAGAAAAATCTATAAATATTTTAAGACCCCAAGTACAGGTTCTCTGAGCTGCATCTGTTTTCTTCAACTGCACCTGAGGGCACTGAAAGAGTCTTTGATACCATACCACTGAATGAACACGATGTCCAATGACCCAGAAGGTACAAGCAAATCTCATTAATATTCAGCAACTCAGCTGAGGTTGATTAATCAAAATAGATATAATAGGGAATATTTCAGAAGCTGTATGCCTCCACTGCCCCAAAGTTCAGCTTTGCTTCAATAACTCTATAGTCTAAGCTAGTGTTCAAATGAACTTTTCTTCATTTATTTCCAAGAGCAAGAGTGCAAAAACAGTGGAGAATGATTAAAGAAGGTCTAATAAACAGCCATTTAGATATAGGAAAGCTTCCAAATTGTGTCAATGTGTATGGCACTGATTCTCAACCAGGTTGCTGCAGCACCCTGAGGTACCCTGAGATCTTTTCAAGGGTGCCACCCAATGTTAGTACTGTTAGGTGTGCAACCACAAGTCCAAGATAAACCCAAAGGTTTCAAATAGGAATCCACAATGTCAAAAGAATACAGACCTGTTGTGATTTTTTGGAGATGCACAGAAGATTCTGGCACACTGTCTTTGTGGGCTTTAAAATCACTTTGCTTATAGGATGAATGATTTTTCTTGGCACAGAAGTACAAAGGATCATCATTAATTAATGAGGAGTTCTGTGCATCTTTAAAAGGCACTGAAAATTCTTTTGCTATCCATTTCCTGCTAACTGTAAAATTTTGCAAGAAAAGAAAGTAAGGCATGTGCCACCACCTCAGCTGGTGAAGATGTTGACAGAATCAGTTAGCAAAGCATCTTCCTGTTTAAGGGTGTATTTTTCTGACTGATCTTGTTGAAGAATGTAAACCTGACTTTCTTTAGGCAAGACATTTCTGTTTCATAGCATTTCTTAGGAAAGGCCCTACTGTTGAATATAAAAAGGAATTCTGAACAGCTATTTCTATTATCTGTAAATGAACACCTGACCCAGATCCTGTTCTGCCTACTAAATATCTAAGACTTAGCAGCCATTTGGCCCCAAAAACACAAAGGTCTCTCCCTCATTAGAGCACTCCTACTCCCATTTTCTCCATGGGCAGCCTAGTGCACCTTCAAAGTTAACCCTTATTCCACCCTGCACAGACACACAGATCTGCCATTCCCTGGGCAGGCTCATAAGCATCCAGAACATCAGATTCCAGCTTGTTCACCGGAGGAACATCTACTTAAACTTCTGTCATGTTAGGACCCCAACGAAACATCTAACAGTAGCACTGACTTCAGTGAAAAATGAAAATACATTTTGTACTGAACCATCACTGGATAAAATCAACACACACCAATGGTATGCCCACCCCACTATGCCAATCATACCTCCTCTTGCTTCTTCTCTTTATGGCTGCACAATTCTTATACTCCTTTCCACCCAGTGGTCTAGCATCATCAAGGAGAATGGAGGATGCTCCTCAGCCCAGCATAGCTCAGAGCATGATGGTTACTGCACTCTTTTAGGAAGTATGTGGATTCATACCCCTTAAAGACTGAATGGGGCCTGGAAGGCATGTCTCTGACTTCTTGAACAAGTGCTCTAACTATACCAACGTTGAGGAAAAGATGATTTCCCTCCATGTTCTCAGCTTTAGTTGCTTGGCATAGTTTTTCTCCAAGGAATCAAGGACTCACGGAGTCAAGTTTCAGTTCCAGCTGAGAAGCACAAACAGAGCTTAGGTGGAGGTAGACATCTAAGTGGCCATCCCAGATCAATTTTGGGCATATACAGTAGCTCAAGCCTGGCTTTCTAAAGATCTTTTCAAGCCAAAACAGGAGGCAAAGAACTCTTGACACCTTAGAGGTTTTGTGGCTGCTGCCAATTATTTTAATTAGCAACCAAGACATTTAGAATTTGAAGGGAGTATCATATCAGCACCTTAGGAGAAGAATAGCACCCGGGCCCTTGAATTGAGCTTGACTTCTTGCTTTTGGGAAAAATGAGTAAGAGATGTTACAAGCTAGAGGGACATAAACCTGCCCTAAACAATACAAAGGCAAGCACACACACCTATTTCACAACTTCCTATACCTACAAACAAATGGGACTGCCATAGGCACATGTATGATCCCTCAATATGCCAACATATTTATGGAAGACCTTGAAGTTAATTTCCTCTGCAGCTGCCCCCTCATCTCCCTAGTATACCTCAGATGCATCAAATGGCATCTGCCTAACATGGACACATGGGAAGGAATCTCTAGGGAAAGTTCACCAAGACTAATAATTTC